CTTTATGATGTTGGGGGTACTGTCTTTATATGTTGGGGGGGTTGTGGGGGGTGCACTGTCTTTATGATGTTGGGGGGTGCACTGTCTTTATGATGTTGGGGGGTGCATTGTCTTTATGATGTTGGGGGGTGTACTGTCTTTATGATGTTGGGGGTGCACTGTCTTTATGATGTTGGGGGTATGTCTTTATGATGTTGGGGGGGTTACTGTCTTTATGATGTTGGGGGGGTGTACTGTCTTTATGATGTTGGGGGGTGCACTGTCTTTATGATGTTGGGGGGGTGTACTGTCTTTATGATGTTGGGGGGTGCACTGTCTTTATGATGTTGGGGGGTGTACTGTCTTTATGATGTTGGGGGTGCACTGTCTTTATGATGTTGGGGGGTGTACTGTCTTTATGATGTTGGGGGGGCACTGTCTTTATGATGTTGGGGGGTGTACTGTCTTTATGATGTTGGGGGGTGCACTGTCTTTATGATGTTGGGGGGTTATGTCTTTATGTTGGGGGGGGTGTACTGTCTTTATGATGTTGGGGGGTGCACTGTCTTTATGATGTTGGGGGTTTTTTTTGTTGGGGGGTGCACTGTCTTTATGATGTTGGGGGGTGCACTGTCTTTATGATGTTGGGGGGTGCATTGTCTTTATGATGTTGGGGGGTGTACTGTCTTTATGATGTTGGGGGGTGCATTGTCTTTATGATGTTGGGGGGTGCATTGTCTTTATGATGTTGGGGGGCACTGTCTTTATGATGTTGGGGGGTGCACTGTCTTTATGATGTTGGGGGGGTGCATTGTCTTTATGATGTTGGGGGGTGCACTGTCTTTATGATGTTGGGGGGGCACTGTCTTTATGATGTTGGGGGTGCACTGTCTTTATGATGTTGGGGGGTGCATTGTCTTTATGATGTTGGGGGGCACTGTCTTTATGATGTTGGGGGTGCATTGTCTTTATGATGTTGGGGGGGTGCATTGTCTTTATGATGTTGGGGGGCTTTTTATGATGTGGGGGGCACTGTCTTTATGATGTTGGGGGGTGCATTGTCTTTATGATGTTGGGGGGTGCATTGTCTTTATGATGTTGGGGGGTGTACTGTCTTTATGATGTTGGGGGGCACTGTCTTTATGATGTTGGGACTGTCTTTATGATGTTGGGGGGTTTTTGGGGGTGCACTGTCTTTATGATGTTGGGGGGTGCATTGTCTTTATGATGTTGGGGGGGGTGCACTGTCTTTTATGGGTGCATTGTCTTTATGATGTTGGGGGGTGCACTGTCTTTATGATGTTGGGGGGTGCATTGTCTTTATGATGTTGGGGGGTGCATTGTCTTTATGATGTTGGGGGGTGCATTGTCTTTATGATGTTGGGGGGGTGCATTGTCTTTATGATGTTGGGGGGTGCATTGTCTTTATGATGTTGGGGGGGTGCATTGTCTTTATGATGTTCTTGGGGGGGGCATTGTCTTTATGATGTGTGGGGGGGCATTGTCTTTATGATGTTGGGGGGGCACTGTCTTTATGATGTTGTGGGTTGGGGGTGCATTGTCTTTATGATGTTGGGGGGGGGCTGTCGGCTGGCGTTGAGGGCCTTGAAACGAGTGTAGAACACTGGTTCATCTGGTAGTGTGACTCTGCTGGTTGTAGTCTGTGATGTGTTGCAGTCCTTGCCACATGTCCCTCCAGCTCCAGTCTGTAATGTCTCTTGGCCTGTCTGATTGATCTACGCAGGTCATATCTGGCCTTTTTGTAGTCCTCAGTGTCACCCGAGACAAATGCAGCAGAGCGAGCACGTAGCATGGGCCGCAGTTCACAGTTAATTCAGGGTTTGTGTTTGGGGCAGGTCTTGCAGTGTTTAGTGGAGACAATGTTCTCAGTGGAAATGCTAATGTAGCATATTCCTCCACAGTGCCGCCGCCCCCCCCCCCCTCTCAGAGCAGCAGCTTTAATTTAATGATAAAACAATAATAAGATCAATTTAAAGCTGCATGCAGCAGTGAACGACCCAAGCTCTCTTAACAGACCATATAAGGCTTACTTCCTGTTTCTTATATGTGTTCAGGATGGGACTCTTATACACAAACGTCTGATACAGACAGTTCTCTATTGATCAGTATACACTGTATCTGTATTGATTATTGATCAGAATACACTGTATCTGTATTGATTATTGATCAGAATACACTGTATCTGTATTGATTATTGATCAGCATACACTGTATCTTTATGGATGATATTGATCAGTATACACTGTATCTTTATTGATTATTGATCAGTATACACTGTATCTTTATGGATGATATTGATCAGTATACACTGTATCTTTATTGATTATTGATCAGTATACACTGTATCTTTATGGATGATATTGATCAGTATACACTGTATCTTTATTGATTATTGATCAGTATACACTGTATCTTTATGGATGATATTGATCAGTATACACTGTATCTTTATTGATTATTGATCAGTATACACTGTATCTGTATGGATGATATTGATCAG